TGTATTGTTTGCTTTTAAGGGGGCGGTAATACTTCGTCATCATTGTTTAAATTAAAACGTCTCTGAAACTTGTTAGATAATTACTCACCTTTTTCTAAAAAGAAAAACACAGTATTGTTTTTTTTAGAAATAAATACGTATGATACATTTTTTTTGGGAGAACATGCAAACTCCTTGCAGAAAACACAGAACCTTCTTGCTGTAAGGCAGCAGTACTTCCCACTGCATAAAACAACCAACATAAATGAAAATGTTAGTTCTAACTCTAAATAGTATTGACTGAATTAATAAACATCTTTCAAAGATAAAATTTTATCTCATTTTGTCTTAAGTTTATACAGACATTAAAGAATATCTAAACATGTGACAAGAGCTACTTTTTTCTTCTTCTGTAATTTTGAGTTTATGATGTGAATTTAAAGTGAGAGGTGTGCAATTAACCATTTATATATATATATTTTTTCTCTTCTGAGGAAGTAAGACTGAAGATTCTCTTTCATTTATGTAGCAGTCATTGCCATGGGGGATTTTTTAATTCCCAAGAAGGACCTGTGCTGGTTACGCCACAAATATGTCCCTTCTCACACTTAAGACATTTTTAAAATGATTTTTGTTCTCTTTAAAAAAAAATAATATGTAGCCTGAGTGATGTCATCATATTAAAAAAATGTGAAGGATTGATTGTTCTTCTGGCTGGGCTTTGTTTTGACATCTCTCCACTGGGGGGCACTGTGGTACTGAAAGGTTTCTGCACATCGGAAGTCACCTGTAATTCTACTTAAAAAGTGATAGCAGGAATGTAAATTGACATATTCCTAAAACTGAAGGAAATCATGAAAAAAAAAATTTAAAGGTTGATTAAAAATATAAAAATAAGAGATCTGGTGGAATAATATGAGACAAAAACTGTTTAATTCAGATGAAACATAGACTTGATAAATTATTTTATCCATATTATGTTAAACAATAGCTCTAATGGATGCTAAACCTGTTTGTTTCAGACCATGTGGATGAGAACAATCAGTGGCTCGTTTGTTTTAATCTTGTCTGTCTAAAACCCGGAGAGGACAGAATCAGTCATCTGAATTGATCTCAAGTAATTGGAGGCAGAGGGAAGAGAAGTCAATGGACCGTGCAAAGCAGAACCAACAGCTGCTACCAGTCTCCAGGTATAAGGAAAGAAAAATCCTGCTGACTTCATGAGCAGAATCACTCTCTGTCAGCCACATTATCAGCTTCAGAGCTCTCTGGCTTTTTTGCCATCACCTGCCATCAGGTGGGTTTGGACTTCCTACAAGTGAATTTCTGATACCATCCTAACATTTGGGCCTACCCACAATGTGAATTAATTTTTACTCTTTTTCCTTTGTAGGAATGGCATCAGATAAGTCTGTCCGTGGGATGCTCTTTCTGTCGCTCACAGTTGTTGGAGTTCCCGGGAATATTGCGGTCATTGTTGCCTTCCTCCTCCTGATCCGCCAGGAGAGCCTGCTCCTCGCAGCAGATGCCATCGTTCTCCACCTGGCCTGTGCCAACCTGTTGGTGGTGCTTGTACGCTGTCTGCTGGAGATGCTAGCCTCCTTCCGCCAGGTGAATGTCTTTGGAGACATTGGCTGCAAAACTGTGATCTTCATCTACAGGACCTCCAGGGCCCTCTCTATCTGGCTCACCTTTCTCCTGAGTGCATACCAATGCTTGTGCATTGCCCCTCCTGGATCAAGCTGGGCCTCAACCCGTGCTTTAGTTGCTCAAAATTTATTCATTATATTCATTTTCCTCTGGATCCTCCACACCAGTATGAGTGTGGGAGCCATAGTGTTCTCTGTAAGCTCAAAGAATCACACTACTCCGACAACAAGCGCTGTTAACACAGAGTTTTGTTATGTAAACTTCCCATCAGATATCCTTAAAGAAGGTTACGGGGCAGTACAAGTGAGCAGAGATGTGGTGCCTATAGTTCTCATGACTCTAAGCAGCTTGATCATTCTTGTTCTCCTTTACAAGCACAGCCAGCACCTCAAGGGGCTCCGTGGTGCTGGCCAAGCTGGATCAGGGAGCTCCGGGGCCGAGCAACGGGCTGCTAAAGTAGTAGTCGTGCTCGTGACCATGTATGTGGTTCTTTATGGCGTCGATAATGGTCTTTGGGTGTACACGCTCACTGTGAGGCAAACAATGCGCTCCTCGCTGATCTCTGACCTGCGTGTATTCTTTGCTTCACTGTATGCCGCACTCAGCCCTCTAGTTATCATTGCATCTAACAGGAAGGTGAACAGCAGGCTGAGGTGTGTTGCAAAGGAAAAGCCTTTGCAGGGGAAAACAGCTCGTCTCTGCTCTATATGAGGGTCAATTTCACACATGGCTGTAGGGGAAACTTAAGCTGAGTTAAAACTGTTTTTGTTTTTTTATGTCTGGGTCATGCTAGGATTAATATGTTGAAACCAAATGCTGACAAGAATTACTTTGCTTTTATCGCTGCTGTAGTCATTTTACTAAGTTTCAAGGTTGAGTTGAGGAGGCGCCTTCTTCCGAGTATTAAAGGTACAGTGGAGGATGCTCCTTTTCCCAAGTGGTCCTCCTAATTGTCAATCATTCTGGTGATATATTTACATAAGGGTCGTTCCCATTTTCACTTACCGATGGTGAGTCTGACATAGTGGAAAAATTGCAAATCTTCTACTGGAGAGTAAGCTTGTAAGACCGATGCAGCAACTTTTAAACAGAGCGTGCATGAAGAGAAATGGGCTCTGGAATGCACTCGCACGCGTTTAATAGGTGTTCTCTCAGTAGCAGGTACAGGGTTGTGATGTGCATTTCTTTTTTTTTTTTTTAACAGTCTCTTATTTAAAATAACATTAAAGAGAAATTAAGCTCTAGGAGAAAAATAGAAAATAAGAGACTCCTAAAACATGTTTCCTAAATCTGGATATGTATGACTATCATTCAACTGCAGAGTCAGTTTAACTTCTTAATCTTAGATCATCGTAATTAATGAGGTATTGAAGAGGTTATCATCTTAACCCAACAGCAATTTAGAAGAAAGACAGAAGAGTGGAAGCTTTGATGAAAACAAACTTAAACCAAACAATGAATTCTGAGCCATTAGTAATGTGTTTGAGCTCATAAAATACTGAGTATATGTATATATAAGCGTATGAAAATGAAAGCCAGAAACTGTACCATTTCTATTTGTAATTTGGGACAAATTTCTGAATGTTTTTAAAGAAGTACACAAAATGTTCATTTTATCATTAAACATCTATAAACAACCCACATCTCAGAGTCATCTCAGAGAAAGCTCTCCAGTCCTGTATTTGACATCGTTTGTCACTGCAGAAGGGAAACAGTAACGGCCATTTAGTCTCTGCTGGTCTGGCAGCGTTGTTATTTTTCCTCGTTTGTTTAGTATGTATCAGCAGTACTAATTATAGCCCGGTAATTCATTTCATGTTGCTGTCAAATAACTTCCAAGTGCTCATTTAGCCATGATTAAGCATTTGAATAGGGAAATGTTCTGTGTTAATCAGGCAGATTAATTACCCCACTGAGATTTGGTTAAAAACTTCCAGACAAGTTAATTCTCTACAATATATATATATATACGCACATATTAATATATATAATATGTTTATATTACACTAATGAAATACATTCTTGCTGCTTGCTGTAAAATGTTGTAAGAGATGTAAAAGAGTCAAAGATTGAATTTTATTACAAGGTCTTAGGAATTTACTGTCGGCAAGGCACTGTAGGAAATAAAGAAGCATAATGTAATTGCTGTGACTCCAGAGAATCAGGGAAAAAAAAAAACAAGGTGAGGACATAACAACCGCCGTCGCTGACAGTCCCAGAGACATAAAGTGGGTCTGCCAGCTCTGTTATCCTGCACTCACTCTGAAGCGCAATTAACACCTTTCAGCTGCAGGTGAGGAGAGGGAATAGACCCTCCACTAGTGCTTGTGCAGAACTGTTGCATTTATCCACCAGATGACATCAGCAATGAAGAACATTTAAAGGTCACATCACAGGGTAACATTTACTTTTAATTTGAAAGCTTCCAATTTCATATCTGCTTATGTTTATTCTCAAATCTATCTCTCCAGATGAGACATTCCATGTCTTTTACTCTTCAAACCACTGAAATCTGATTGGCACATAAGACAGACTCCGGTGGAATGAAGGATAGAATACATGGACAGATTCATGGCCCTGCTGCTTCCCCTGTTGAGTTCCTGGAACAGTGATACCAATGTCAGGTTTACCTATAAAGAGAGAAACAGTCAAATCATTAAAACAAAGACAAAGCACACAAAAACAGGTTCAATGAGGGTTTATGTTCAAGTGTCTGAGTCTGTGTGGGAAGGGTGAGTCAGGAAGGCCTCTCCCTGCACAAGACAGGACCTGTTGTCTCTCCTTTCTGTCCCTCTGAAGTCTTTTGAGCCCAGAGAATGCTGAGGGCTGTTTAACATGACCATACAAGCAAAACAGGCAACATTCCTCTAGCCTTCCCTTTCCCATCATAGCTCATGCATTACTTTTTATTCCTAAGTATTAATTCTAAATGGAAAAATTTAACTTGCTCAGAGTTTCAAATACTCTAAGTTGCAGACTCAGAAAATCTGTAAACAAAATAGAGAAATGCAGAAATGATCAATATTAGCAAAGCTAGAAGCAAACGGTTGCATCCTCTTTGTGCCTAATTATGCAATATCTAGAGATACAAACCTTTGCAATAAAAAAAACAAAATACATCTTGAAAGTTTCCAGAGTAGATTCTTTGACAGAAAAAAAAAAAATCCCTAAATCCTGCCTGTTGATCCCACAAGACTTCTGCTGCGCTGCGCCTGATGTGAATCTGTTTACCTGCACAGGTACAGGTCTTTTTTGTCCCTCTGTCCACCAATAGCGAAGAAGCAGAAGGCTTAAACCAACCCCCTTTTTTCTGCCTCGGAGCAAATCCACACCCTGTTTTAACTGAATCTTTAAAGCATCTCCTCCCCCGCAGAAATCTTTTCAACAATTACACAAACCTGAATGACTCATGGTGTCCGCAAAGTTAATCTGACAGGAAAACATTACAATATTACCAAATAATCATGACAAAGCAAAAACACCAAGATATCAATGTTTTTAGCATGACCAATCAATATATGAACAGTTTTATTACTATATGATGGCCAAGATTTGTTACTTAGATTACAAAATAAAAACTCAAAAGTGTTGTGATCATCTTTAAATGACTACAGTAGGTGCAGCTTAATAATGCGTCAATAATAAACATATCCTAAGGTACATTCTGATTTTCATGGAAATCTGAGAACTGCTGTAATGACCCCCTTTTGAATTTACTGATATCATGTCTGCTGTTTCCATTTTTATATATTTTTTTGCCTTGGACTTCCTGTTTAGTAGATTGAAATTTCATAGAGAGGCTATAGACAGACATACTGCAGATACACTGTACTGTTATATCAATCAACACGGTTAAACCATCTTTCTTATCTGAAGAATTTCATATTAGAATTGACAGATTTGTTCATATACCCAAAACAGCTCAAATACATCGAAGTAATCAACTCTAAATCTAACTCAAGAATAGCTGCCAGCAGATATTTAAAGTTATTATTTTGCACAAACTTATGCTCCAGAGTTAAATGTCAGTGAGTCTTTCTCTTGCATTCCCTTCAGTTTCACTGATCTCCTCTGTCAGAGAAGGCTTGCAATCATGCTGCAGCTTGCCTGGAATGTTGCACTGAACATAAGCAAAAGGTCTGTAGTCAAGGTGGTGAGAGGGAAATTTACAAAAAAAACAACAACTTTGGATTGAGCAAAATAAGTATTTGAAAGGATCCTAAGTTCGTGAAACCTTGGAAAAATGGTTGAAATAGAGATTAACCTGCACATAGAGGAATTAACTAGTTCTGACTTCAATATTGCCGTATTGACAGGAATTAGTCAAATTCTTACTTGATAAATGGATGAAAAAAGGCGAGAACATAGGGTTAAGCATATGATTGATGGTGCTTTCATATTTAAGCTTTACCTACGGGAAAAGTAGCAGTCAGCAGACTTTTAATTAAGCATAAAGGACAAAAGGAAGAAGCCTGCTTTGCTTATTTCAGATATTTAAAAAAATCTGTCAGTCACACATAAAGTCTTTAATAAAAACTCATACTTTGAAGATATCAAAATTAAACACATTTTCCAAATCATGTCTTTTTGTTCTTCCTGGGGCTCAGAAAGTCAACGTCATTTACAATGGATTGCCTAAATATCCCCACTCCCAACACTTTTTCACATTCTGTCTGATATAAAGCTCATTTTAGTGTGTTATTGCTCTCTAATACCTTGAAGAACCACCTTCTACTGCTCATCCTGATAAAAGAGGAACTTCTTAGTCATTTTTGCAGCTTCTCACAGATTTCCTTGCAGGATTGCTCTGTATTAAGCTTAATCCATTTTATATTAACTCTGACTGGCTTTCCTGCCTCAGCTGAAGTAAGGCAGCCCAATACAATGACGCTTCTACCACCATGTTTTACAGTGGGAATGGTGTATTCAGTTGTTTGGTTTTAATCTTTCACCTGTAAAAATATTTTGCATGTAGGCCAGAGAGCCATATTTCTGTATTATCTTTACTGGAGCATTTTCTTTCTTGGGTTTTACTTGTACCAAACTTTACCCCTAATCTTTTATATGTGTCTTTTCGTTTTACCACTTTCATATAAAGACCAAATGTGTAGAATCCACAACTGCTAATTGCTCTTAACCTAATCTGTGGATCTCTGCAACTCCCCCAGAGTTACGAAAGAAATATTTACAATATTTCGTAGCAATGCTTTACTTAATAAGGCATTTAGTTTAGGTGGATTTTGCAGAATCTTGGAAGGTGTGTAGTTAAACAATTTCCATTTTTGATAATGGATTCAACAGGGCTGTACAAGTGGAGCAGGAGTTTGCACTGCAATGCTCCTGGCAGAGCTGCCCTCTGTCATTGGTTCTGTTCATAACTTTTAAGGAAAGGATATCTTAGTGCAGCTAAGGGCCAGAGGGGGTTTGGTTTGAGGACCGGTGGATTTTGTCGCTGCTTTTTGCAGATGACACGGATCTGCGGGCTCCCTCCTGCCAAGAACTGCATACCCCTTCATCCCTGCCACTTCACGGCTGAGATTGAAACAGCAGGGATCAAGATCAGCTGCTATAACTCAAAATAAATGGTTATCAACCATAAAATGCACATCTTTAAGAAGAGTTCATGTATCTTGGGGTCCAGTGATGGGAGAATGGAGCGGGACATTTTTTCCTCCTTTTGGCATCTTCTTCTTCTTTTTGACTATTGTGCTGATGTAACAAGTACATTTCTCCACTGTGAGATCAATAAAGTCAATCAATTCAATTCTGTTTAATATTCAATTAATGTTAAATTGTGCACTTCTATAGTATAAAGTCGTAGGAAAATTATATTTGAATGTCAAATCATTCTGGCTTAAACATGTATATAAATTTTCTCTTTATCATATATTTATCATACCATATTGTCCCAAAAGTTAAAAAATTTGTGTCTTTAAAAAAAAAATCCTGTCTTAAAATCAGTCTTTTTTTTTGTTATTTTATGCAGGCCAATTAATTATACATCAGCTTGTACACCTAAATTCGGCCAATCATATATCAACAGTCATTCAAATTTATTCGGTTATTGCATCTTGATTCATATGTCACAGCTAATAAGAAATAAGAATATAGAAGGGCTCAAACATGTATGGCTGTAAGCCTTCTACACCAAACCAAGCTTC